CCCCAAAACCCCAAAACCCCAAAACCCCAAAACCCCAAAACCCCACCACTTGATGTAGCGATTGAGAATTAGGTCTAAAACTCACAAATCAATATGGAGTTTCCATAGCTTAAAGCAGAATAGAATTATGAAAGCATTGTATTAGGTAAACGATCTAGTTAGAAGCTGTTTCGAAAGCTGCCATGTCCACAGCCTTGTAAGCAATGAAGTAGTCCACCATCTCCTCTACTTCTTGAGCAGAGTAGCTGAAGTTCAGGCAGGCTTTCTGGCCCTGCATTGCCATTGCGTACAGGTCGTAGGTCCTGGCAGCTTCGAGTTCATCGGTGAAAGTTCCGATATATTTCTTAGTGTTTCTTTGGTTGATGAGGGCTTGCCAGTTGGCGTTGTTTTTGGACACTCCAATGTACTGAGACCTCCTTCCTAAGTTTGTGTCAGTAGTTCCTCTGGTCTTCTTTCTGGAGCTCTGAAACCCAGTGACCCGCCCATTCTGGATCTTTGTTCTGAGTCTGATGAGCCTGGCTCTGATGTCGAGTCTTGAAGAACGCCTTCTGCGGTTGCTGAAGATTCTTGTGGCAGCAGGGACTTTGCTTTCTTCTTCTGCATTCTCGCTTATCCGAGAGTGGTCTTTATTCTGAGTTACAGTCTTATCTACTCAGTTCAGGCTTTCCTTATCTTGCTGAATATCGGTGATCACTTTTTCAGCTTGCTTCTGTTCACAGATGGGAGAATCAGCTTGAGGTCTACACAAATATCAAGGTTAGGCTTTAGTTTTAAGAGAGAAATCATTCATGACAATACTTACTTGTTTTCAGTGTTGGCCTCGTTATCATCCTCAACAGCGTGAGCTGAGCAAGATCACAGGTGTTGACAAGTACAGTAGGCTTGCAAGTATGGGACCATCTCTGCCATAGATGGACAGCAACAATAGAGAGTGGCACATTCTTTAATAATTTGTGAGTATCCCCACACTGGTTTGAAAGCATGAGTTTTCCAACTTTGATTATGGTATAAATCCATGTTAAAATTTTTTAATTAAATCTTTTATCTTTGGACTTAAATATTTAACAGAAGGTCATTTGACAGTGGTAATGTATGAACTCATGATTTCAAACTCGTCCACGAGCATTTCAACCTCTACTAATGACTTAAGAAAGACCTTTAGTCATTGTTTATTTGCTCAGAGTTTTCTCAAGAGCAAAATAGAGACTTCAAATAATATTAAATTTCCATAGAAGCATACTCCCGAACATCTGTTGAAGTCATGAATTATCTAACTTTCTAAAGATGACTAGTATGGGACTTTAAAAATACGGACCTTTCTTATGGCCTCAAAAGACAGTCTGAGGCAGAGACTCAGGCTGTGAAGTCCATCATGAAATAGCAAAGTCGATAGTTCACTCCTCTATAATACAGTTATGGAGGACTCCATTCCGCATAAATTTGTTACTAGGAGAACATCATCAGCAGCGAAGAGTCTATGACTATGATTGTTTAAGATGATAAATTCCACTATTTTTGTGAGAGATTTCTTTGTCTTTGACAATGCCAGCCGCTAAGTTTGGATGAAAGATTTAAGCATAGTTAGAAATTTGATAAGAATGATATACCATAAAAAGAGGTTTAGACATTTACGACTCGCTTCATAATATTATTAAAAACAAATGGAAGACTCCTTAATGGAAATTTGAATAGGCTCTATATGTTTTAAAGGAGACTAAGAACTCTGATTAGCATGAATTTGAGCGTCAATAGACTATCGAAATAAATTGCTCGCATCTTATTCCAATACTATTAAAGTTTTAAATTTACCTTCATGAATTCTGGCAAATACTTTTATTGACAATATGTTGAAAGACAACGATATACTCACCGAAATCGCTAAGGAATAATACTTGAAACCACTCTTCTTGCTGATATTATGCCTGTGAGAGTTCAGACTAGCCGTCTGAAGAAGTTTATGCAATAGATGCTTTTGTAGCCTCACCAACATCTGTATAATAATTGAGGTTTTTAATCGTAGATACTATGCTAAGTAAACATGCATGTTTGAATGGCAGCCATCTTTGCTGTCACTGAGTTTAGACGACTCTGAAACCCATTCGTAATAAGTGCCTAGTAATCACTCTTTTTGCGATGGGACAACATGACAACTATTTATAATGGCAGGCTAAGGAAAGTCTCATGTGGAAACGCCTGCACAGATTCCCGCATTGACTTGAAGTGTTTAAAGCTCATTTGAGTTGCTTACAAACCACAATAATTTCCCAAAAATCCTTAAATCCTGCTTTGCCCCTCTCTCCTGCTTCTTCTCCTGCTTCTTCTCCTGCTTTGTCCCTGCTCCTTCGTCCAGCCTGTGGCCTCTCCCCGCTCCCCCTGCTGACTGGCTTAGGCTTCTTTCTCATGGTTGGAGCTAAATCTGAAGCCTCCATTTTTATTCGGCTGCAATTCCAATTGCAGCTTAGCCTCGTGGGGTTTTGGGGTTTTGGGGTTTTGGGG